AGGTGCTAAGCTTCGTGAGGTACATGAAACCCAACTTTATCTATTTTAATTATTGTTTTCTCTGTTTATTTTTTTTTGAATTAATACTTCGCTTCCTTATAATCTACAGGTTTATAAAATAAAATAGGGGGAACTATTAAGCTCTTTAATCAGAGATAGCAAGGCCTCTATTTGGTTTGTAGTCTCATTTCACTGTATAGAAGCGATGTGGCCTTGTTTTCGTAATTTGGCCATGTGGTTATGGCGACCTTAATAAATGTGACTTGTCTGGAGTCCTTTGCAATATTCGTCATGATAATTTCCAGCGTATGACCATGGACTTGGTGCATTCCCATATGTTTGGCCGGCATTGTTGGCTCCTTATATGAAATGCATTCTTTGCGAAATTGACCTATAAATGTCGATATAGAGCAAGCTGCTTAAATAGTGTCCCTTGTCTATATAGTCTATTAAGTACATGTAGTCTGTGGACAATATAGTATATTGTGTGCAAATGGTTCCTGTCGCCCGTCATTTCTCCATCTTTGGAGTATTTCGATATCTTTTTGTTGTTGAATCGGATTCTTGCATACCAAAATCATGTATATTAGAAAAATGTGATCTCTAGATATTAAGACCAAGATGGTGTGGCCTTTTGTTTGCTCGCAGTCTATTTTAGCCCTATACTGTTGGTTTTATCTCGTTTTCGCAACTTGGTAGAAGCGACAGGGAGACCTTATGGAACGAACTTAGTTCTGCGTCCGTTGGCGAGAATCATTATGAATTCTGCGGCAGAGGACGCAGAATTTGGTACATTTCGCATACTCTTTCTGTCGCTCCGACCAGGTAATCTTTAGCCAATTTTGAGATTTAATTGTTTTTCAACCATCTTATATTTACGATGCCTCAATGGTACGAGTTGCGTATGCTGCATAAGTAAGAAGAGTCTTTATTTCCTGTTAGGAATTAAATTCCTTATCTTTAATTGATTTAGGAAACTTCAATAAATTGTATGGATAGCCCAGGCTTGTGCCTCCTTCATATTTAATTTCTTCATATAGTATGCTCACGTCAAATTTTCTTTTACAGTTTACCGAAGTTGTGCTAAGCTGATTGCAAAACTGATTGAAAACAAAACTGCTCTTTTTTAATCAGAATTCCACTAGGAAGTGAGTCTTTTTGAACTTATTTACATTTTAACGTTTTCGTTTTTATTATATTTTTTTCAAATTTAGGTTATTTGTGTTCCTGGTGTTTTTGCTGAGCATACCAGAAGCAACAATATAACGGAGGTCGAACGAGTTTTGGGCATCGAAGCCGCTAGACGTGTTGTCATAGACGAATTACTTTCTGTGATGGCGGGACATGGTGTTGATGTCAACGTCAGGCACGTTATGCTGCTAGCCGATACAATGACCAATCGGGTGAGTTATATTGTTCATGCTTAAGCTGATATGATTTCGTTATGAGGCTTGCTATTGCTGCCACTTATTGCCGACGTAGCCTGCGTCTTGCATAGTTCAATCATCGGGATTAGGAACTGAGGCAATTAAGGAAAGTTCTAGTTGAAAACGATTACCCATTCGGATTAATAAAAAATATCAGCAAATTGGGTTGAGGGAAATATCTAGTTGAAGCGATATAAGCAACTGGCTAGCTCTACTAGAGTCCTGACGCTATTGTCCTGTTAGCTTGAAAAAGATTGGTGAATTACTGAAAAAGTGGGGCATCGAGACAATTTATAAGCAGAAAATAACTATTTTATCAGTTATGCCATCTTTTTGGGAAGCTTCGGATGCTCTCGAAATCGGGTTTCTATGACGTTTTGTGTTCATGTGATAGCGTCCATGGGGGGAGACCTGCCGACTTATGCATGGTATTTTATCAGAACATTAAGTAATCAGATATGAGTTGTGGGTCTAAAAATTAAAAACTGGCCGAACCCAGCCCACTCATGACACCAGATAGACTGATCTAGAGTCAAACACTTAGCTGGATGTGGAGACTATACCAATAATGGAGGATCAGGGAATCTATAGTAATCAACAAGGCAGGCAACACCCTGAATAGTAGGAATGAGGATAATGAATTAGGCGGAAACTACATATGGCTGTTTGGTATGATTAGGGAGAGAAAGGGTACAAGAAGTATCGTCTAGCAAGAAGAAGATTGATTAGCCTCAAATCTGGTTTTCATTTTCATACTCCACACGTCTCATGAGCATTGCAAGCATACCACATTCGTGCACTATAACGCATTACATGCGGCAACATTGCAGGATCAAAAATATAAATGGTTTAATTGAGGATGCAGGTGTTTGATCAAAATTGCATCCACTTCACAGTTCATCGGAGGCCACTTCATAGGTTATTCGCAGCCATTTCACTTTTCAACAAGCATGTAGGAAAAGCATTGGATATTCAACTAAATTCATAGACGTCTCATTAAGTGAACAAAGTAAGACTATACGAAGTAAGTAGGATTTTAGTCGACCACCTTTCTTGTCTTCGAGCTTGGTAAATTATCGTAAAGCCTGATGTTCTTCTTTGACGGTGTTAATCATATGATGGATGAATACCCAGCAAGGATTCATCGGGGTCGTGGAGAGGTGCGCCGAAGACCTATTCGCACAAGTCTACAATCAAAACTTTTATGTAAACCCCAATATACCTTCTAGTGAGACTAACTTCAAAACCCAGTTTTTCTTCAAACGAAATCAGAAGTACTTCAACATTTTATGAGATTTATTCACCCTGTTTTGTTAAGGTTATAAGGGAATTGTAGTTGAATTTTTCCACAATGCTATGATTAGATCTTACGTTTCCTTTGAATTGAACATATCCTTGCTTTCCAAATGATTATTCTCATCAATTTGCCAATTTCCACTAATAGGAAGCCAGGTCAGATATCAGAAGCCTTGCATATAGATATATTTAAAGAAAACGTTGATAAATTGAGCCATTCAATTTTAGATCAAAACTTCGGTTAGACACTATTTCTCAGATAATTCATATTGAAGATTATCCTAAACTACATGATTTGGCAAACCATCTAGTATGGGGTTAAAATAGACCCATTAGGCATATTTGCATAATACTTCGAAGGTTGGGTCTTAGATCACTTTCCAAATTTGGTTGTATCTCACGTTTATTTTTCTTATTATCCTATTTCATCCTCAAGATAGTTCCTCCATCCACTCTTTTTAATGATGACTATGACATGCTTCACTGTGGAGAATAGAAATTGACCTATACATGAATAGCTGGTCAGAACCTAAGGGTTAGATGGGACTGTCAATTTGCTAGAGGGGTGTGCCTTAGCGATTCAGAAGTGTAAAATGGAAGCTGTGATTTTCATGTCATCGGTTCCGAAGTATGCCCGACACAGGGCCGAAAGAATGAGATACAATGAGGTCGGAATGAGAAAGAGGATAAGTAGGCCATGTGTCTGAGGACTAGAGAGAGGTAGATACCTACGGATGGGAATCACTAGCTTCAAATCCTCGAATTTGACATAAATGGGGACGGAATTGAAGACTCATATGTAGCTAGATTTCAGACAGCAAGACAAATTTTTTTGGTTAGCAACGACCAATTGACAAGTGGGGTCGAAGAAGGAAGGACTAAATGAATGTAAGAATCCATGATATAAAGTCCTGCAAACGGCATCTGAAACGGATTGTGAAGGTGATTAACCTTCACTAAATCCACTTGTAGCGGGCAACTTTTAGGCGACAATGGAGTAATTGGGAACACAGAATTATGTGAATAGTTAGATAGACGATATGAAGTGAGGTTGAGAGAAAGAGAGGCAACACTAGAGGCCAGGACATAAATAGGGTTTTTATACCACATAGTTTGAACAGAAAATTGTCTTCACTTGTAACTGATAAGTTTCTACTCTGTGCTAACTCTGGTGATGCCAGATTAATGTCTCGAAATGCGTCAAGTCGATGGTCCGATGCTGGAAATCGCAGAGGACGAAGGATTAGGTACGTTCCACAAAGTCTCACCTTCGCTCCGACCAAGTTACAAAAGCAAAGTCAAAGCAAGAATATTGATCACTTCCATAAATACAAAAAACCAAAATAATGATCACACCATCATTATCTCTATGTCTTCGATGAAATTTTAGAAAGTCTTGAAATATTGACTGTTTAGAGCAACTTTCCATTTTTCGATCAGAAATACTTACGAACTTTATCTGTCCAAATTTGTATGCAGAAGGGAAATTTTGAAAGCATATGTAACTTGAGTTATTTCCATAAAACCAGATTATCTGCATATTCTTTTTTTCTAATATCATAAATATTTTTATTTCTCAAAAATATCATATTATTTTTTACTAGTATTTCAATACTTCCTCTTTGTTTTCCCATATATTCAGGGTGAAGTTTATGGCTATCAGCGCAACGGTATGGCGAAGGCAAAAAACAGTGTTCTCTGTTTAGCTTCTGTGAGTGATTTTATCTTTTTAAAGCCCCATTTAGTTTCAACCGGGCGATTTTTATGAGGAGCTTTATTTTATTTCGTATTGATTTGCCCTCGTTTTCGCAACTTGGTCGGAGCGACAGGGAGACCTTTTGAAACGGGATTAGTTCTGAGTCTTCTGCCATAGTAATCGTGATAATTTCCAGTATAGGAGCGTTGAGTTGGTTCATTCACAGACATTTCGCCGACATCGTTAGTAAAGGCATCCATCCTTAGCATAGAGTTACAGCTTATCAAAGTGATAAGTGAGGGCAATATCCCAGAGCAATTTTCTGTTCAACTCTTTTGGAATCATTCATCACCCATATTCTTTGTTCTATCTTCTAGTGCTGCATCTCTTTCCCTCAACCCCACTTCCTATCGTCTACCTAACTATTCACACCATTCTGGGCTATTGTTTCCTCCAATTTTGCCAGAGGGCGTCGCAACAAGTGGATTTAATGGAGCGTAAACACCTTCACCACCGGTCTCAAACGCCGTTTTCAGGGCTTATGTCATGGATTCTTACTTTAATTTAGCCCCACTTCTTTCATTCAGCCTCTCAATTTATCGCTGCTATCCATGAAAATCACTCTCTGAATTCTGGGCGCCTATAACCTCTCAATCCATGTCTCTGATCACGTCATATTCAAGGATTCATAATCAGTGGGGCCGTAAGTATCTTCCGCTCCCTAGGCTTTAGATCCATCATCCAGTTATCCTTCTTCTCATCCCCATCAACATTGCATCTAATTCCTTGGGGCCCTGTGTTCGGCTTAATTAGGAAACGCCAGTTTGAAAATCTACCGCTTCCTTTTTCCACTCCTGAATCGCGTGAAGCACACTCCTCTTTTCTCTCAAGTTGTCAGTCCCATCTAATCCTAGGGTTCTAATTGGATCCCCCCTTTTTGTTCAGGCATGTCATCAGTCACCTCATACTAAGGCACTCACCCGAAATATGCCTACAAGCACATATGCAACTAGGGACCTTTCTCTGCCTCATATATATCTTTGGGTTAGCATCTCTTATGGTTTATAATCTGCCTTGTTGGAGGGAATTTCATTTCGTATGAAAGTACATGAAGAAGAGATTCGTAGGTCGATCTCACCAGA